CAAAATGGTCAAGTTGGTCGTGTGAGCACCACCACCCCTGCCACCACCATCTCCTGCGTGATCATTGATGACCATGGCCGTGATTTGGTGCTGATTATGTATCTTTTGCTGCTGCGAACGGTGGTGACACAGTGGTACTGATGGCGACAGCGGCGATGACTGTAAGACTACCGAGCTGATGCTAAGATGGGAATGTTGGGTGTGATGATTTTGCGCGGCTGTATTGGCGAAGATAAGAAAAGGCTTGTGACACCGGTGATGATTGCGCAATATTGCGTGATAACTTATGCGCGATGAATACTGATGCGTCCCTGCCTGCACTTGATTGTGGCGATAAATGAGGACTTCGACTGGTGGAGTTGGTCGCCTCGTTCACCTAAGATGCAATTTGTAGCTTAGTGGGTGTTGCCAGTACTGTCAGTGCAGCCCCAGCTGCTTTTCCAGTGGTTGCTGTACCGGTGGTGTCCTTTTGCATTTCGGGTCGGTTCGCGTTGAGTCAAGATTTGCGGTGCATTGCTGCAGGGTTTTATGCTTGAAACGATGGCCAAAGGCTGATCGTGCTGAGCTCATGTGAAGCTTCAACTTCGGAGCTTCGGTCGTAGGTGTTGGTGCTTCCACCTGCCTGTTCTGTTGTGGCAACCTTCAGCAGTTCACATATATGGGATGGGATCATCCACACACAACCAGGTCTTCTCCACATGGGTTCAACAACACCTCAAGCACCAGATGACCCAAGCCCTAGGCACCGCCGAGCGATGCACCGCGGCTTCCGCTGCAGGAGTGTCGACAGGACCAGACCAGTGAGCAGTTTGCATCGCCTGGCTCACTTTTAAGATTATGACCCCTCACGTAAGATTCCAGTCTGGATCACAGTAGTTACAGTAGTTCTGAGGAAGCTCCAGATCCGCTTGGGCAGGAACTGGAACTTCAAGCAGTGTTTTGTACTATCGAAGTGCGAAGGAGTACCCTATTTGCGCGTGTTCCGCTCAGTTTGTCCTTTGCTGCTTTGGTGTGCAGGCAAGGGAGGTCGAGTCCGAAGCCTGCACCCTGAAGCCTCGCCGAGACCCTAAAGCCTAAACTGGCCTATTAACCCTATAAGCCATAGCCAGAAAGCCCTATGGCCCTAGAGCCCTGCTAGACTGGCTGGCAGTCTTTTCATCTTTCAGCATGGAGGCCGAAGAATCGGAGAGAGCCAATACTCTATTAGGTCGAGGTAAGACAACAAAACTGAGACAAATGAAGAATATCTAAGCCTTCTGCGTCTCCATCCCGGCGAAGCTTCCCTTGCACCCCTACATGACACCCTGTAAGATTCTGCGATAAAAGACCGGCAGCGCTACATTAGGGTTTCCTGCTTAAAGGGTCATTCGACTTAGTAACTAGGACTAATTAGGGTAGTTATACTTACAACCCCATAATTAAGGTACTTATACCCCTACTTACGAAGTCCCATCATCCTCCAAGTACTCCCGAACCAGCGCCAGGATGGCAAAGCGCAGCCAACGAATCGGGCTGCCCGGAAGGGCGCTTGAAAAGCTCCGAATCAGGCGCCCCTGTTCCTCAAAGCAGCCAGAAGGGCAGGGTTTAGGGTTTAGGGAGTTCTGGCTAAAGATGTCCATAAGGATCGGGGTTTAGTGTTTGGGAGAGCATCAGGTGCCAGGAGTTCGCGTGTGCCTCAACAGGAGCCTTAATCGCCCGAAGAAGCGAGTATGCAAGATAGAATCGAGGGTAGTTATATGAGTTGGCTCTGGGTGGTCTCTCGTTTCTGTTTCCCGGGTCTTGGATTTATGGTTCCCATTCCATGCCCTGAACCCTAGACCGAGAAACCTGAAGGGACGACTGCGACATAGCCTAGTTCAGGTTAGGATTTGGCCTTGGAAACTTTGGATCGCTGCGGCGTTATCTGGCTGAGTCGAATTCCGGGGCTTCTGGGCTTCGGTTTGGGCTCTGGGATTATGGGCGTCGGCATTCAGCAGCAGCTTCAGCTGTCGACTTCACCACAGTCATAAACCCTTATATCCCCAAAACCGACACAGCCTAAACCCCAGCTTCCCCCTAAACCATATACCCTTACCCGCAGCGCGTTGCAGGCATAACTGAGTGCGCAATTCGGTGCAAATTCGTTTCTGCGCATGGCTCTGCTGGCCTCGGCTTTACAGGCCTGAACCTGATTGGAGAGGGTTCAATCGGTTTAGGTGCTTAGGGTTTCGGGTTTAGGACTACAGCTCCACAAGCATCACTCAGACTACACTACGGACCTCGCAGTGCTTTTCTCCACTTCTGTCCTTGCAGCAGTTCCCGGTCCACAACGCGCGTCGTTCCAACTGGTTCCAAAGAGGCTGGCATGCGTGGACGCATGCTGATGTGATGTTATACTTTGTGTATAGACGGCTGGGGCCCTGATGATGGCAAGAACTAGTTTTCGAATCCCGAAGTGAGGGCAGATGCGTCCCCTAATTGGTTGCGCTTGACAGCCGAGGGTTTGGAGGTCGCGGGGTAGGGTTGTAGGAGGCATCCAGAAAAGATGCCACGTGCCACAGAGCCCATTGCGATTCCCACTGGAGTTCAGGATGTTTCAGGAATCAAATCCCAGCCGACTCTTGGAGCTTTTGTTGGAGAGTTTAGATCTTATGGTTTTGGTTTGAGCCCAGACTTGAATCCAAGCCTTTACCCCCCAGCCGTCTTGTTTCAGTGGGGCATTGGAGAGGCCATCTTGCAGCATCTTGCGACCAGCGCAAGCGCACAGCTCTTCTCGGATGTCTGTTCGCCGTGATAGCAAACCCGCATACCCCGAAGCCTATCGACCCCGGGCCATGACCAGGAATTCAGGGTGTGCCGAGTCCCTCCAAGAACTCGGGCCGGGTCGAAGTGCACGTGAGGGGGATACAGTTATCCGAGGCTGGGAAGGTTTGCTAAGTTTTTGAATCTCTTGGTCGTGTCTCCCAGCATTGAGCTTTGTACTTCCGGACAACAGGGCTTTTGGTCGATGCATGCAAGATGCCGGGATTTAGGCTTTAATCAGGCAGGTTCCAGCAAGTCCTGTCATGCAAGATGGCCGCTCGTTGCGACTGGCATTCGCAACTGCGCTGCTGGCTGCAACCCTCTTGAACCCCGAACCTGAAGCTTAAGCCGAAAAGGGAAGAAACAAACCAATTACTAAGACCTAGACTGTGCAGCTCCAGTGGTACACACAGCAAGGCCAATAGCTGGGTCCCAAATCCCAATCCATCAAACGCCCGCTTTGTGGTTCTCCAGGTTGGCGATTATTCACGCCTGACGAACCCTCCGAAGTCCTTGAAGCTAGGTGCTAGCGGTGAGATGTGTAAATATCAAACCTGGTGCAGGTCGGCTTAAGCCTTTCTGCATCGGGTGGCAGGGCTGTTAGTTACTGTATACAGCCAAGAAATTGAAGTCTAGGTGCTGAGACCCGAGGATTCGCAGGCAGGTTAAATGTGTGAAGCTAGACTACATCGTTAGCTGCTCGTGCTACAGGTAACGTAAAGTCTAAGAGGTCTACAACTTGCGGTACAAAGCCAGAAATCCGACCTGCTGCAGCCTGCAGGCCCTGCAAGTCAGAATGCCCACAGCAGCAACCCGACTGTCCGCAGTTGCTTCTGGCTCTTCTCAGAGGGGTTCTGAGGCAAAAGAACAGAGCCTCCCTCTGTAATGGGATCAGAATTTGCCGTTGTTTGAGGCTTCGGGTCGGTACGGAACCTGCGGCCTCAGTCCAAAACTTCCAGGAACAGCAACGACAGCAACAGCAACAAATCACTCTAAGCAACGGGCAGCAGCAGAAATGGAGATACACAGTACGCAACTGCGATATGAATCGGAGTAATTACTTGTCATTGCGCATCAGGTAGGCGGCTGTCTATGATGTATGTCATGATCTGTGCTCGCGGCGTGGGAGTGAGTTAATTGTCTTGGCCCTTCCCCGTTCATGTAATTAGGTCACGGGCTTGCAGCTTCGAGACTAGGGTTCAGTGATTCAGGTTCAGGGCCTGTGTTCCAGCGGTTGCGCTTCGGATAGGGGCGTTCTGGAGCCTCGCATCTTCGTAGGAACTCTTCGTGGAGACATCGCGTACCGCCACTTCTGTGACTCAAGCAGAATGGTGCCAGGGTGTTTTAAAAGGCTGTGTGCATGTACCCATCATGCGAGAACGGTTTAACGGCTGTGAAACATCCGACGCCACAAGACTGATTTAAACACCTCACCTCTGCCTTCCACCCTGCGTTTAGCCATGAGCCTGAGCCTATGAAGCCGTACATACAATCTTAGTTCAGGGCTCATGCGGCCTGCTCCGCCATGCCATCTTTTCGGTGCCCGGCTGATCTAGGCCCAGAGCTGTCAAAACGGGAGATCTATCTTGCATGTACGCATGTCAGAGTGCTAGGTGTGCAGTTCATGTATAGTTAGATCATCTATGCAGACACTTCTTGATGTGCATGTAATGCATATACAGTTCATATACATGTGTGTGTGTGTGTTCGTCGCGCGTATGCGTGTGTGTATATATATATATATATATATATGTGTGTGTGTGTGTCTACACGTGTGCATAGTAATACATACATGCAGTCATTGCGCCAATTTTCTTGTTGTGCAACGCTCAACATCGGTCCCTCAACTTCTTTTATTGTCCCAGCTCTATCACTGACTATAGATGGATGCGCCCTGGGAGTGCTTCTGCGGAAAGTCCAGTCATGGTCTTAGACATTGAGGTCTCCGCAAAGGCTTCAAACTATAAACACTCCTCGTACCTTTGATGCCGGGAGACCGGTTTATGGTATGAGTGTGCGGTTTACAGTGTAGGGGGTGTGGAGCCAAGAGGCTTGGTCAGAGTTTGATGAGATTGTGGAAGACATGTACAGGGTCCAGGGTGTTGTGCTGCATTGGAAGTCTCGGGCTTGTTTTGACGGCCCAAAGCTCGATCACCGAAGCCCCGCCGAAGCTCTAAAATGTACGGACTGGCTTGCATGCACCGTGTAGGTCTTGCAGCATGGAAGAAAACAGCCTCCGCGACTACTTTGTAGCTCGGCAACTGGAAGGGCCTGCGCGGACTAGGAGTTTTGGGTTTCCTTTCTTCTCGTACATAGCCAAAGGAGTCGCCATAATATTTAGGTTTTATCTTGAAACACCACTGCAGGCAAGTATAATTGGTCCAGCATTTCTCTTATTATGCTGTTTTGTTTGGATGTTCTCTGGAGGCAAGTGAAATTAGTCGACAAAACCGCAAAGCATTGTTCTTGGTGGGCCTTTCGTCCCTCGCGACAGTGCAAGACGGTCCTGAAACTTTGCACACTAGCTGGGCCCAAGCAAACCAGTATCACGGCACCCTGGACCTTGTGAAACTCTTGTCTTTCTGGTCGTCTCAACTTACTGCAGGGCAGTACTACATTGTCGTTTCACTTTTACCGTGGAGACAGTGAGGTGCCACGGGCAGACAGATGCGAGTGCCACTACAACATTCCCGCTTTTGACAGGTTCTCTTGCTGGCTTGAGTCCTTGTTTCCTCTTATGAAGGTAGTTGTTCACCTCCTTGCTACTTGTGAAAGCCCTTTCTCATCCCAGAGCCCAAAACCTCAAACAGCTTGTTTGCACTCAGGAGAAGAAGTACCGCCAGGGGAACTTCTTCGAGCGCGGGGACTATGACTCGTGTCTGGCATTTCATTGGGATTTCTGCAGTTACTCCGGGAGTGTAATTGCGGCTCATGCTGACCTTCCAGCTGGGCAGCCGTGTTTGTGTATCACGATCATTGGCACCATCCCTCTTCATATCTACCCATGAACCTTCAAGGAGTCCTGAGGACCTTCGTGAGCATCTTCGCCTGCCCGAGGAACTCTAAACGAGCATCCAGGTTACCTGCAATGACGTATGTGGCAATGTATGTAAGGACTATATGGGTACATGATTTTATGTGTTTTTTCTCCGGGAAGGGGCGGAACTACAAAGGAACACTGTGTTCCTGAGGAATCCATCTTCAGAGCAGGTGTTTTGTAATCTAGGACCTCCAGCAAAGAACGCGACTCCGCAGCACACCCAAAAAGCCCTCTCTGACCAAATGCATGGCTCCCTGGCCCTCTAGCCGGCTCCAATCCACCTATATATTGTCGCCAAAGCCCAGAACCCCCAAACTGCAAACCCTCCTGAGAGCCACGGAGCCACGACCCGAAAACCTCTCAGTTGACAGACAGATTATAAGATCCTGATGTTAGGGACACTGAATCTAATGGGACTTGCCTCTTTCGGACCACCGCCCAACCCGCCCCCCACAATGGGTGGCCAAGGATTTCTTGGCTGACAGCTGGCGCCTGGGCAGTGAAAGTCAGCAAGCCGCCGGATTTGGTGTGTCAAAGGTCGGAGACTAATGATTACCGATCATGAATTCCCAAACCACAATGCAGGAAATTCAGGGGAAACCGCGCCTTGAAGTTGAGTCTGCTTTCACAAAAACACTATTGTAGCAAACTTGCAACCTCGCATGCACCCTGCACCCCAAATCCGCAGACCTTAACCTGTAGACTCTACCACAAGCCCTCCAGCCCGCGGCCCCAAAAGCCGCACTGCCAGAGCCCTGAACCTTAAAACAGAGCTCGTCATGCAATGCGCGGAATAAGGTGCTGGGAGCATCGCCGAACCGGTATCCGGGCAACGGGCCCAGGGGCTTGTTTTGTCTCCCCGAGGCATCCAGGTTTCGGGTATCGCAGGGTTTCGGTGTACAACAGAGGTTTCATCAGGCTTTGTTGTTGGGGGGGTGGGGGGGGGGGGGGTTGAGGGTTTGTTCGATTTCAGGGGCTGTGGTAGTCGCCACAGTGTTCAACCTGAATGCAGCCAAGTTGTGGAAGAAGTTCGTTCAAACTATGCCACCGGAGCGTGACCGTCTTGTTAAATCAGTATATTATAGTGAATGCATCCAATTCCAAGTTGACATACTTATAGTGAATGAGACTTCAACTTCAACCGTCCTTGCTTTTCACACCCTGGAATTCTGGATAGCTGACTGGCCAAGGTCTGGGCGGATGCTTTGGACCTCTCATTGGGTCAGCCGGACTGATCTGACGACAAAACCGTCTATAGTACGCAGGGTTTCATGGACAGGGGTGTCGAGTGTTGTCTATGTCTAGCACTTTGAGACATTCTGGAGTGATATCTGCCTGGAGGACAGCCGGGTTGTGTTCCATTACACCAGCGTGGCCTGTCTGCAAGCAGCCACACCGTATCAAGAGCGTTCAGCATCACTGACTCCAAGCACTGCTATAGAGTCAGAGAGGAGTCATGTTTATGGGGCGTGCAATGCTAGTTGCATTGAAAACAGACAGGAAAAGCCGTGTTACGGGGACATATGCCAGTGACACTGTTGGGAGCTCTTCAGAACAACTGTTGAGTTGCTTGCCAATAAACGAACCGTCAAGCTCATGACAAACACTCTCACCATCATTGTAGTTTGAGGTCCGAGACAGGATATGCTGACATGTCTGCTCGCGCAAGCCCGTGCTCCCAAAGCATCTTAGGAGCTGACTTTTCGGGAAGTGACTTCCGAAGAGAAGCAGCCGGCGGAAGTATGGGTCGCTAGGATCAGATTCAGGAAGGAGATCCCAAGCCTTGCACCTTGCCTTAGGCGCCCTCTCGAAACCCACAGAACTATAAGCCATGAACACAAACAAACGCAAATTTCAAGCCCAGGAGGATGCTATCGGAGCAAAGAGTTGCAACTTTTAGCTTTCAATCCAACCCCATAATCTGAACCGCAGGGTTTGATTGCAAGTGAAAGCCCTTACATCCACACCGTCAGAACCCTCAAGCCGGGCATGCGCAACAATGGTTTCAATCCTGACTCAGATGTTCGACCGGTGTATTGGCATATATTTGTGTTGTAAGCATGCAGGGGTTGCACTGGTGAGGTTCTTAGATATCCTGAAATTATCAAGGCTGTGTGGTCTCAGCATAGTGTCCAGTGAGTCACCGGTTCGATGTTCGGGGTTTCGGGTTCTGGGCGGTTTCGGTGTTTGGTGTTCGGCTAGAGACGAGATGCTGCTTCTTTCCGAATTCGGGTCTCTTCTAGACGAAAGGTTATGGCTGAATCAGAAGCTGTGCCTGCTCTTTTCAATCCTGAGGCTCTTTAAGTTGCCTTGAGCCGGTGCAGAAGTCCACCCCCACTGGCAGAAGCTAAAGGCTTAAGGATAAATCGGTCTCTGTTTCCGGAGGGTTCTCTTCTCTACTTTGGGGTCGGTATCGGGTTGCCGAGAAGAGTACGCCAGTTTAAAGACTCGAGCTCCCATGTACAAAGCCTAAACAATAATTGAAGAAGTGCGATCTGCCTCATCTCCGGTCTTCCAGGCCCTGAGACTCCGATTTCCTAAACCTAAACGGCCCTCGACTCGACCAGGGCCATGAAGAGCTTCACTAAGCCAGATTGTCTAAACACAACAAACTCGGACACCCACGCTTAACTCCCTCAAGACCTCCCAACACCATCCTAAACATCCTAAATCTCATGCCCTTCAGAGACCGCACAATACTTTTGCCCTGCAAGAACTCGGCAAAACCCGAAAGCCGGAACACGCTCCAAGGCCGTAAACCCCCAAAGCCAAGAGCCACTTAGATAAAGACAGCTGCGGTAGCAGAAGAAAGAGAAGAAGACAACAACAGCCTGCAAACTCACACAACCCTACGCAGTAAACACCCAAATCTCTAAACCCATAGACCCTATTCACAAGACTAAAACTTGAACCGTAGGCATCTTATCCTTCCCGAGGCTGCCTTAAAGAGCGATCCTGGCACCGCCTGGTTCGGTTCCGGTCCCTCGGCCCCGAAAAAAGGGCAAACCTTGGGGGCTGCTGTAAGGATTCTATAGTGAGGGTACTACATGGGTTTAGGGTTTAGGGTATAGGGTCAGGGTATTACATGGGTTTACAAAGGTACTATGGCACCGGGTTTGAGGGTTTTTGGAAACGGAGGCTTTGAGAGCAAAGCTGGGGCCCAGAATAGGGGTCTTGTCGTCGCGGTTCGAGACTACATAAGGGCTTTCTTGCGGGTTTTAGGCGGTCTGGCCACACTCCGAGGTTCTTGCCCTACATCATGGTGCATCTGATTCCCGCTTCCATTATCCTCGCCTTCAGATCACCCCCGAAGCGCACCCCTCGTGCCCTGAAGCTCCAGAGCCGCCTACGACCCAGAGCACCTCCCCGCAAAGTCGCCCCTAAGACCCCGAGCAGTAGAGTGATCGGCCCGGAAGGTTTGGGAATTGGGCTATGAAATTGCAGCCCAACATTCCTAAGGGTCCTAAACCCACGTTCAAAGACCCAACCTTTTGAGCTCAACAACACACTTACATCCAGGAGCTCAATGTGTTCTAAACCCCAGCATGCCTTGGGAAAACCAGGTGTTCCGGTGCTGTCTCGTATCTCGACCGTCAACTGCAAAGTCATCAGGATATACAGGTCATAAGGTTTGAGGCTTATGTATGCTGATGTAGGCTTTCGGGTACATGGAGGCTTCAATCATTGTAGCCCTATAAATGACACCTTAAACGCAACCCCAAAGTGCTTGGGCCCGGGATCCCGAGCTGGGTCCGGTACACTCTCGATCGAATCATGGTGTAAATGAATATTGTTCACAGCTGTTTGCGGTAAAACGAGCCCTGATATGGATCGTAGTTCAGGGCAGCAGTTAGTGGCAGCTTCTCAAATCGAGCGCCCGTCGGGCACCATCGTTTGGAATGGCTCTCAACAAAAAACAATGGGACAAAGTGATCTGTCCGTTGAACTGTCCTGCGGCTCCTGTTGAGAGGTCTGTACACCGTGCCCAAGGCTCCAGATGAGTGGAAGGCGCAGCGCAGAAGTTAGGCCCAGGTTGGGGCTCAGGTTTCGCTAGTTCACCGGTACCGCTTGGAGATGAGACCTTTCAGACATACTGGAGTTCCTTCCAACAATATAATCTATCAGTTAACCGTGCTTCATATGCTTGACGCGCTCGGAGGGTGTACAATTACAGTCTAGCCGAAATGCGGCAGAAAGCACTATCCTGACATGCTTTTACCAAGGCCCTTCAAATCCCAAAGCCCTGCGCAGTGGAGCTTTGTGGTACAGCGCCCCATCACACCGCTCATTTGAAGCTCCGAGCTTCACTTCAGAATTGGTTTCGGGCCATGTGGTTAGAGAAAGTCTTCTGGCTCTTAAGTGCCATCAGCGATGTGTGTGTGTGTGTGCGCGTGTCTGTGTGTGAGGGTGGGGGTTTTTATCGAGAAGAAAGGTTGCCGGCAGGTCCATGAATTTAGATGCCTTGACAGGGAGGAAGGCTTCGGGCTTTACAATACAGAGCAGCATTGGTTGGCTAACTTGTGTCGTAGATCCTAGCCCACCTAGGAGGTACAGCTCTGCTGAGTATTCGGTCAAAGCAAGCTCTACCGGAATCGCAGGACAGAGCAGAGCTGCTCGACAACAATTTCCGGAACCTTATGAAGAAGGACCACAACAATGACGACAAGGGTGAGGACTATGTCAAAAAGGTGCCATGAGGGTTGAAATTCACGGAGAGTTCTTGGGCGAGAGCAGTTCTCCGTTGAGGCTTCCATACGCATGGCTGTACAGCTGGCAGTGGCACCTTGCTTGAGAGCACGCGAGTATCGGGTCTCCGTTGACTTTTTGATCTGCACAGTGCCTCGTGCCCCAGGCTTCAAGCAACGCGGATGTGACCCATAGCCATTGACAATTTCAGAGCATTTCAAGCCCGAAGCCGTGGCAACACAACGCACGAGCCCCAAAGCCACCAGCTCAACGATCTCGAAAGGCATATCCTCATCGTGTCGCATTTTGCATACCCATCCTCGTGGCACCTGCGAACATGTACGACGTGCTCCCTGGCAGTTGAAGGGCACTCTCTGTGGTTGTAATAGGCCAGAGTTGAGGACCTCGGGTTCGCGGCTATAAGACCCCCAAGCCCGAGCTTTCAGGATTTTTTCGATTGGCTTCGGAAGTGAGTGGCTGCTCGAGCTTTAGGTCTACTCTTAGCCGGGCCTGTTGAGCAACATGCTGTCCAAATACCTAGATAAGCCTGAATCCTACACCATCAACCCTCCCCAGGTCCAAAGTGCAAACGCCCGAGATGAAGCAGGCCGTCAATTTAGGCTGCTAGCTGTTCGGTTAGTGGTTTTGAGGGTTGATGTATGTTTGTCACCTTCGGGGGCTTGATGATATACGATGCGCCTAAAAGTTATGAAGAGGAGGGGCCTTCAGGACTGCAGGGTTTCAGAGTTTGGACTTGAATCGGTCTGAAGGTATACCGGTTCCTTCAGGATTTTCCTTACCTTTGGCTAGTAGGGAATGGAGGAATGGGGTGCAATGATAACTATACTATTACTACCATTCTTCCATTCCCTACTAACCAAAGGTACGTTTCAAGGGCGCCTGGGAGTTCGGGCGCCTTTTCGAAGCTTCGGCAGCTCCCCAATGTTTGGCTCTTGACCTCCGAGGCTCCCGACCGAAAGCCCTTGAGGCTTCGCCCAGGATTTATGTATTCATATATACATATATATTATATGTACACGGATCTTAGGGTTCCTTTACAGGGTACTACAAGGGTTCCTTTTAAGGGATCTATAGGGTTTAGGGGTTCCAGCCTAAAGCGTTACAATAGTTGCAGAGATTGCCAACGCAGGCGGGGCGAGCTCCTGGAAGGACAGGGGCCGACAGCTACCGGTTTCGCGTTGACATACAGTAACAGTAAACCCCAAAAAGTTGGAAAGGATTGAGGCTACAGGGTTTCCAACTTTTGGGCTTCTACTGTACAGTTCTACAAGTGGTTGCTGAGATTGTTTTGGGCTCAAGGGCCCCTCTGTAGTGAGCGGTTTCTATTTGGCGATGGTCTTTTGTGTAACAGCCAACTCTGTAAGAGAGGTCCAGGTGAATTAAAGCCTCACGGCCGGACGATGTCGAGAGATTCTCTTGCCAAGTAAGTTTAAATGCATAGGACCTTGCGTGTAGGGCCGTGCGGTCAAAAATGCCTTAAGCCCTAACCTCTTACTACTACTACTACTACTACTACTACTACTACTACTACTACTACTACCACTACTACTACTACTACTACTACAACTACTACTACTACTACTACTACTACTACTACTACTACTCCCAAATTCTCGCAGGAATCTTCGAGGTGTGGTGCTCAACAAGCCCGGCACGGTTCCACGGACCTGCGCAAGCTGGCTGACTTTTCTCTGTGCTGCTTTAAGCAGGGCATGGAGCTTGAATTGCTAGGACTATATTACAGAGCCCTCCAAAAGTTCGCTTACGAGCTTCTTGAATTTCGGGTTGCTTTAGTGGTGCAAGTTTGGGGCGAAGATTGCTGGGGCCTCAAACCCCAAAATCCCGAGAACTCGCGCGTTGCCTCAGGGCTTTTAGGGCGCTTCTAAGGCCCCAGGGCTCCGGTTGCCTAAATATATATTAATAGTAAAAATAATAACAGTAGTAATAATAATAGTAATAATAATGATACTAGTAATAATAATAATAGTAATAATAGCAGTACTCGTATAATTGGGTTGGTCGGATGTATAATATGTGGTTGGTAACCCACTGTTTAGGCAACTGGAGCCCGTTAGTCTTTCACCCTGCGGTCCCCAACGTCTGAAGCCTGAAATTCAGTAGCCTTGTTTGGTACACGGGCACTAGAGCAGCAGCCGTTTTAGCTTGGTATAGATGTTGAAATGCTAAGCCCCATAGATTGAATTGGGCTCCCGGGTTTGGGTGGTTGTATGTAAGGAACCTCGTGGAATGAGATCTGCTTTTGGGGTTTTGAGTTTGGAACCTTTCAGAAATCGACTCCCTTGTTTTGAGGATTGGAAATAGGGAAGGGAACCTGATAGCATTCGTTGGCTTTCTGGTGGGGTTTAGGCTTGGCAACCCGGTATTCTTCTATTCCTATGTGTGTCTTGGATTTGGGGCATCTTGTGCAAGGTTACGCAACCCCATCCCCAAAAGGAACTCACCCACCCTCACACAATGCGACATGTTTGGCCGCAGTTTTCCTATCCAGCTGTGTGTGTGTGTGTGTCAGTCAAGCAGGTGCCCCACAATCCCTGATAAAGAAGCTCCCCGAGTCTGAGGTCGTCATTCAATTTGCTGATGGCGGTAGGGCTGTAAAAATCGCCCTGGATCGGCTGCTGGACACGAGCCTTGACCGCAATACTACGTGTGGTTTTCCAGGATGTCGTCCAATACATCAGATACAGCCGCTGCGGAGCAGTGATGTTTTTGCCTGCTCGGATATTAGGATCGTGTTTCCATGGAAACTCAGCCTGCAAGCACGAGCATTCCAGCCACACTGCAGATTCATGCTGCTTGGACGCCAGGCAGGAGACATATTTTGGTTGCCGCAGGCAGCCCTTGTTCTATAGGATTGTTTGCGAAAGGCCTGCCTGCTAGTGACTGCTAGTGCTTGTTGGGACGCCACTGGCGCAAGTTCGGCCAAAACACACAACACAACACTGCCGGTGGCGCGTTTCCACCACTGCTACTTGTACTACGAAGATGGCAACAAAGGGGATGAGAGCATCGCCATCTCTGTCAGCCCCATCATCGTCCCCCACCGTCATCATCCACATCATCATCATCATCATCATCATCGTCATCATCATCATCATCAGTATCTTGTCCTTCCTCCTCCCGTCGTCGTCGTCCTCCTCCCCCATCCCCAGCATTATCATCATCATCATCATCATCATCATCATCAGTATCTTGTCCTTCCTCCTCCAGTCGTCGTCGTCCTCCTCCCCCATCCCCAGCATTATCAGCATCATCATCACCAGCAACATCATCATCACCATCGTCGTCATCACCACCATCACAATCACCATCGCCACCATCACCATCTCAATCACCATCACCACTACTAGTATCATCAGGATCAGGATCATCATCATCATCACCGTTACCACCCTCGTAGTCGTCATCATCACGTTCATCATCACCAGCATCATCACCATCATCACCCTAACTCATCACGCATCACTCATCACTCATCAGTCATCACAATCAGCAACAGCAACATCAATATCAGCATCACCAACATCATTATCATCGCCAGCATCATCACCATCATCATCATCATGATCATCATCATCTTCATCAACACGACCGAACATGACCATCGTCATCATACTCATGTTGCTCCTGTCATCGTGACTGTCGTACTCAGCCAATTCTGCCTCGTCATCCTGATCATCATCCTCGCCACCGTCGCCCATTGTTGTCACCGCGGCTGCTTCATTTTTGACAGTAGAGCTGTCAAACCCAACACAGACTTAGCCAAGGCTCCAACTTCGTGCTCGTTCTATCGCCAAGCGACGCTCCGATGGCAAAGGGACGCACTTGAAGAGCCGGAAACCTGAGACCGAACACTCCTGGATCCTTAAAGCCCTAAATATGGGTACTGTGGGCGATCTGTTTTCTATCCCGTTTGAAGACCCGAGGTTAGACAGATCTAGACATGGTGGTTTGTGGTGCCGAAACTTACGGTGCTAGGGTGTCCCTCCGTTCTGCCCTGTTTCCAAACGAGGAGCGGTTGGTTTTTGATGTCGGGTTTCTAAGGCTCCGGTGAAATGAAGGCAGGTGTCGAACTCCTCCTGGTGCGCAACCTATACTACTGTAGGGACTACACTGTGACTACACCCTGCTCTACTTCTTCGGGACGCTTATTGTTTGAATCGGAACGCCTAAACAAGCTTTCGTGCAGCGGCAGCAAGCCTTGAAACCTCGGCGCCCTGAGGGCCGAGGCCCTGGACTTTGAAAGCCCTATAGACATCTGTAAACGTCGGCATGACCCCGAAATTCGGAGATTAGCGGTTCTGGGATGTTACTTACGGGTTTAGGGTAGAAGAGAAGAGTTACAAGTAACATTTGAGTCGGGTGAGTCTAGGGTTTCCGGTTGCTGGTCTGTGTTTCAGCTGTGAGGATAAAGGGGCTCAGGTCGGGCTTGGTGTAGGGCTTTGGAGCCTTGGTCAGCTGAGGAAAGGGCGAGCGACACTTGACAACTCTTCTTGCCAGAGCCAGGCGGCTCTGGAAGAAGGGCTTTCGAGTCGGTTTGGGCTTCCGGTGTTCAGGGGCTGACGGGATTTGTTAGGGCTTTCGGGTTTCAGTAAGTGTCCCAAGTTTTCTACATGTTGTAGACCCCGATCGCCTAATTCGCAAACACAGCCATCAAGAGAACAAGCCTTCCAGCCCCTTCGGTCCTGCCCATCTTTTGCGGTTTGTTTGCCAAACCATTCTTGTGCAAACACCCGCACATGCACCAGTAACGAATTGCTGTGCCGCCCTTGGAATACTCACGGACGGCCATTGCGAGGCTCGGTACATCTTTGCGCAGCCGCGGCATGTTGCCGGAGGCATCGGAAGATTTGGAGATCCAGAAGATGTGGAGAAAAGGGCTGTTCGGGTAAGGCGTAAGTGCAGGTGTTCAGAGTTTCGAGTTCCGCAGCGACGAGGCTGGCGTTTTTTTTTCTCCACTGCTACCTTTAGGCAACTCCACGAATGAGGTGCCCGTGTTGGTTAGTTTGTGCCCACGCTGCGTATGGCCACCACGGCGACACCTGCTAGAATTCCGGATTTATGTTGTAGAGCTAACTTCACAGGCTCGGCCCCTAAGGTTTGTGGCTCAGCAAGGAATCCCCAACAACCCTCAAGGCTTCTGTGCAGTCGAGACAACAGTCATTCAACACCCTGAGGCTCTAAACCCTGACTAAAAGCGTAGACAACACTGATCTAATTTCCTAAACTCAAGCTGACTACCAACATGGAAGGCAACCAACAGACAGTGAAACCAACTTCTCTTGCAAAGGTCAAGTGCTGACCCGGGTCTGTTGTTTGAAGCTGCACCACATAGTGCAAGCTCTTTTCTGCGCAAGTCTTCTGCGGAGAAAGGGGGCTACCCCCTGTCCCGTTATATGGGTACTATGAGGTATTATATGATACTGTACCCTAAACCCAACTCTAAGCCCCTCTGTGAGCAAACTGATGCCCATCGAGGCCGAAGCAGTGCTTCGAGAGGTTCTCGAGGGCTACGAGCAACAATTGGGGCCGGTACATCCAAGGACTCGGGCGCTTAGATCCTGTAGGGTTCAACGTTGCGTGGGGGTTTAGGGGGGCATTCGGGGTTGATAGGGTTCGGGGTGGGGCGTTTTCGGGATTCAGGGTTTTCGAGGTCTCGCGCAGGCAGGCAAGAAGTGACACCAAATTGCAACAACATATATACAACAAGAAATAAGAAAACACTTTCTAATCGGAATGCGAAAGCCACTACTTCTAGCGACACACCAAGGCAAGACTTGTGATAGCATCGCAACGACATTCGCAGCAACACAGCATCAGTAGTCGACAGTGCCCGTCTGAACAGGGTCATCCGGTGCATGCCAAGAGATCCGGTTGGTGACTTCGCAGGATGCAACAACTTTGGGAGTGAACCTTCATCCCGACCGGATCGGTGTAATGAGCGTTTAGGATAGCTTTTGTAGGTTTCAAGGACGAGACGGTTAGATTGACTGGTCCTTACACCCCATAACACTGAAAAGCTCAGACCCTGAAACTGATTGCATTGTTCGAGGCCGGCCAAGGGAATTCTGTTGCAGGTCCAGGGGTTGGGCTTTAGGATCTGGGTTTCGGAGTTTAGTTCATAAGCCTAGAGTGCGAGAGGATATGGCTGCGTTGCCTCACATGCTACCCTAAAGTGATGTAAGCCGCGACTTCCGGAGCTGAAGACTAACGCCCCACGCATTGACCGCAAACTCCCTCAAGAGAACCAGGACTCTTTTCGCTGTGGATGCCTGGGCTAAGCTACTCCACGCGAAAGGAGACTTGGAGGAGGTTGGAGAAACGAGGGAGGGCGGGGGTTGGGGTCATTGCGGGTCAGGGTTTCGGACTTGACTTTGGGGCTTCAGGGTTTCCAGGGCTTCAGAAGTGAGTCAACTCAGTTTTGGTACCTTTGAGGGGGCTCTTCACTCAGGGTTGCCTTGCTTCCTTCAGCTAGGCTTCCTGAGGGGAGGAGCCGGCTGTAAGGTTCCGGGATCGGGGTGGTTCCGTCCTAGCGTTCCCGAGCCGCCAACTCAAAAAGGCTTGCTTGGCCTGGCCAGGCTTGGGCCCTGGAGTTGTAGGATTCAGTATGTTTCGGGGTCACACACCAGGGATTTCGGAGCTTTTGGCGAACGATTCCGAGCTTCAGGGCTCTATAAGCTTTAGGATGCTGGCTGCATGCTCTCTTTGCGAATCATCTGCCCATGCTGTTCCCGGAGTGTCGTTGCTGCCCGTGGCTGGTGCATGGAGCACGGCCAGTGTCAGACGTCGGATCTGTCGATTCTGTTCCCAGACGTGCTCATCCCAAGCAGGGCTTGCTGGTGCAGGTGGAGGATCCTGCGAAACGTTCCTGGGGTCTTCTGCTCAGGATCCGTCATCCTTAGCCTTCGTAGCACTATCACGAAAGGATAGTTGTCAAGCAGCCCCATATCCTAACCTTCATGCGTGCCGGCGCGACATCTCAGTGCTTGTCTTCATCAGGCTGCCACCACTACCGGGATAACATCCACAGCCTTACAAGCCTTACAACCACCTTAGACAACGTTGTAGTAGTTGATGAAATCCCTGCATGCTTTGGCAGCAAGCTTGCGGTAGAACCGGTTGTCCTTCATACCCAGTACTTTGTATGCATGTTTGTACGAATCAACGTATGCATTCATTCGTACGACTATAACCCACAACCTACTGGACGATGGTGGATGACTTGACAAGCATGTCCTCATAATGGGTATCATAAATTTTAAACAGCTTTTACATGGCTTTCTGTGTTGGCAGGCGAAGAAGTTTTACCGACGAGCGGTGCGGGATGCTCGCAAGAAGCCGCCCAACCCAATTCAAGGTATTTCGGCGGTTCAGACGGTTCGGGGTTTAGGTGTTTGAGGTTAATGCTTTACTCCGTTTTTGGTTCAGGGGTTTATCGGAGTTAAAATACAATTAGTAAGGATGTCACGTTTTTTTGTAAGGTTTGGGAGGGTGTTCCTGCATTGGAGCTAGGGGCTGATCATGGCCAGGACACGCAGAACCGAGCCTTTGTACACATCCAAACACGAACACAAGGCAAACTTATCAGTTCGGTGCTTGGGCACCTTGACCCCCAGCCTAAACCCCGACATCCTTCACCCCCAATTGGAAGCCTTCGAAGGAACCTTTGAACACGGCTGTAGCATTCTACAGAAACCCGTCACTGCCCAACAACACTGCGTAAACTTCCACCAAGGCCCGTTGCCAGGTTCAAGTTTAAAGCTCATGGTTCCAAACCCAACATGCCAAAATACCCTGCGGGCGGCTGGCGCAGCTGAATTTCTCGAACCTCCTGTTCCGTAACTTACAACTCTGGATCACCAGAGGAGTCGACTGTTCCCAAGAGCTTTATGCTGCTAGGCTTTAGGTTTGGGCCTTAATCTTGTGCCCATGCATTCAAGGCTGGGCGCGTCGCACCCTGCCACCCTCGCCTACACAGATGACTTTGGTGCCGAACTTGGCCAGCGTGGTATACAGTTGTGGGATTTTCCGCAAGGTAAGGTAGATTTGCCAGAAAAGAGTGTGCTGAATCAGACGGGGTTCCAGACATGTTGTAAAGTTTGCGGAGTCGTTTAGATTTTGACGAGGGTCTTATCACATGGTTTGAAGATGAGACTATTCACTCTTCTCCCACACCGCTTTGGCTTTGCAAGCATTTGGTCTGTCGAACTCGAAAGATCGATTTAGGTGGTATCTTGCAGGCTTCATAGCGCATGGACTGTGGGTTTCGGGATGTGTTTCAGGGGAAAAAGGACTTGACTTTCCGTCTTCGGGGCTTGTGCTTTCGGGGGCTGAGGGTCTTGAGGCATCGGCAGTTCGAGAGTGTGACAGTTGTTTTGGGTTTAGATTCCTGGCGCGAGTCCCGTGATCCGTGGCCGTGGCCCACAACTTGCACACACTTGCACAGTCTGTTTTTGTTCAGAGTGGGCTCATCCATCACCATGCAGGAGTTCGAAGCACTAATGTGGGGCCAAGCGAACTTGCGGAAAGGGCCCGGAAGCATGCTATAGGATCCGCCATACGCAACTTACAGGACACATTGAAGGTGCGGTAGATCGCATCTTACAGCTAGCAAGGTTTGTGGCTGACTCCCGGCAAGGGGTTTTGACATTCTAGCTCGTGTATTGCATGCAGCAACGGACGGCCGCTTCAACATGAGCAACCCTCTCAGCCTTCCTGCACCCTAGAGCCTAAATTCCCAAAGCCGAGAACCGGCAAAGGCGTTTTGCTTCATCGCAATGGCGATCTCCTGGAAGCGGAAGAGCTCTTGAAGAAATCTTTCCGAGGAGGGGTGATAGGGCTTCTTCCGACTTAGTACTTAAGATTTGGAGTTCAGGGTATGTTTACGTTGAGTCTAAGGCTTAAGGGCTTTCGGTCTGCTTTTCGGTGTCTAAGCTGTGTGGTTTCAGGGTATCTCGATGGCTTGGAATGGCATTGTGGATGGAAGTCGTGGAGGTTAGGAATTCGGGCCAGAGTGTAGGTGCTCAAAGTTTCGCGGCTACGGACTCCTTCTTTCAGTGTTCCAGAAGTTCCCCGCCTCATGTGTTTGATGTACTTCGGCCAGCAATCCCGTACTTCGCAACGCTATGGTCCGAGTCATCCTCCCCTAAGAGTACTTAATTCATGTTGGCTGATGCCTTGGCCTTACTTTTCCGTGTTGGGCCCGGAGTTCCTTATCTATCAGTCTGTTGCCAGTGCAGCGCACCTCGAGTTCGTTGATGTTGAGCCTGTGCCATCATACCGTGTGTTTTTGTTTGGCCATCCTTGCAGACACTGCCATGTCACAGACCCCAAATCCCAAACCTCAGCCTGGAGCTCTGCCGCTTCGCCCTACTTCTACCTGGGTCTTCGGGCTACACTTCGCGAGAGATCGGACGCTCCTCAACTTACGGTGACGGTGGAGCGTTTTGGCACCCTGAAGCATGCAGCTGGGTTCACCCCTAAGCCCGCAAACCTCAGAAAGCTGCACGAAGCACTGTAAGATCTCACAAGAAAACCCTAACTATAGCAAAACCCCCACCAAACCCTAACGAAACCCTTACTAAATCCTAACTCAACCATATAAGCTCTGACCTCTTCCACCAGTCTAATGCGAAGAAACCCGAGCACGAGACAGGCCGAGAGGAGCTCCTCGGACCGGCGCATCCAGAGCCTCGGTGAAGAAGAGCGTCCCGTGACCGATCTCGGACAACCAGTAATAAAGGGGCTACTATCTGATTCTGGCATAACGGCATAATGTACCACAAAACCAAAAAGATTAAGCCCCGTATATTATCATAAACTCCTCCTCCTTCGTGCAGATGTCTCAAAGACCTAAGCCCGAAACAGCCGAACCATGAACCATCACCTCCACCGCACCAGTCAAGGACACGCTCGTGTCGCTTCGTCACGTCTCCAGTCTCCTGAAGGCCACTGTTTCGGGTTCGAAAATTGCGAGTCTCAGGGCAGAGTCTGAAGTTCGATGAGAAAACAAATGATGATCTTCTGCCGACATCATCCTATCAGGGTCGAGGGCTTGTCGCTTTGAGTTCTGCTCTGTCTCAAGCTTCAGAATTGCGGCATTTAGTTGAGGAGGTGATGCATGATAGGTGCTGTGCTTTTTCCATGAGTTCAATTCCATGTAAAGTTTGCTCGTGATTGCGACGGGGTGGGATCTGGGAGTGGTGGCCCGAGCGAGTCTTGCGTCAATATTTTCCCTTGTCCGAATGAGCAATCAATTCAATCCTCAGGGTTCACCTGTATGCTTATAGATAGTAATTAGAACCCCGATACCCTAGTCCCATCGCCAGCTTAAGGGTGTGCATGATGCTGTTCCTCTTGTCAGAGCAGCAGGAGCCCAAAGTTACACTTAAGAAGCGACCTGCAGGACCTTGGGGAGCTGATGGAAGCGGACACTTGGATGTAGGGCGCATAAGGGCACCTAAGCATAAACCATTGAAGCCTGACCCCTTGTGGGGATCCATGTACGAAAGAACATGATCTTCGCATAAGAAGTTTATGTGTCGGGTGCTTATTTGGGCTTTGGCTAGCTTGGAAGTGATGCAGCGAGAATCAGCAAGGCACAGTGTATTTTTGGCATGTCATGTATTCAGTTCATGATATTGAACAGAAGATACTGCCCTGGACGAACTTCCTGCGTACATACCTCTGGGCCTATGGGCTTCTTCGTGCGCTTGTGCGGGTGCTTGTCTGTCTGGCCACGGCAAGGTCGGTGAATCAGGGAAGGGTGTTTAACAAAAGCGGGGCCTGAGCCCGACCGGAATCCACAGCCCCGAGTGCTAAAGCTCTGGCCGGCTTTACCTAAAAACCCTGGACTCCGCATCCCCAATCACTGAAACCAAGACCTCTAAACTCTAGGCTGGAAAACGCACAACCTAAGGCTGTAAAGCTTTAAATCCTCAGTAGAGAAAGCCCTGAACGCCAAACCCAACCGCAATCCTCAGCCAAACTTTAGGCTCAATCCCCATGCTATATTTACTAAACCGCAGACCCATAAGGAGAAGCTTCATACCGGCGCGGCCAGTGGCAGTGAGAAGCGCTGGGGCACCTGGCTCCTCGGATGTATCTTTGGGTTTAGGGTTTAGGGTTCAGGGTTTGGGTCGAGAGTGTCGGGAGTGGGAGCGTCAGAGGGAGATTCGGCTGCTGTTTCCAAGGTTTTGTGGATTCTGTGGAGTACGGTTACGACGGTTGCGAGTTTTAGGATTTGGGATGTTGGGTTTGCGGGTGTCATTCGGGTGGATTCGGGTCTCGAAGCCCCAAGCGGCCCAAACCTCAGAGCCCGAAATCCCAAATCCGCACTCCCTAAGCCTTCGATCTATCTAATGGTTAAGGTTTCAAGGGGTGCTCGCAACAGGCACCCGTGGACCCTCCACGCCCTGATCGATCTGGGCCACCTCCTTCACAAGCTGCGTGGGCTGCAACTTCATGCTTGAAATCCACCTACATAGACTTAGACGCCCAAAGCACCTTGAAGCAGTCCTTATGTGCCCCACACTTTCTGGAAAAGGCACATGGCATTGGCGGCATCTTAAACCCCGGTAGCATTTTGGCTCGCGAAAGTTGCGTATGCATTTAGGCATGCTGTTCTGAGACGCCGGCTCCACGCCCACAACCGCGTTTAGGGCCGATGTGAAGTTAGCAGAGGCGTCTTCATAATAGCTCTCGACTTGCAGCTTCATGCGTTTATGCCCTTCTATCGACCGGTCCTCTTTCTATCTAGTTCCAGCCCACTCTCTGGGACCCAGATCAGCTCAGATCGACATGGGAAAACCCGAGACGGCGTTATGACGGGACAAGAACGGAAGCCAAGCCATCAGAGCTAGTGAGGCTCCTCTGTTCTATTGCCATTTCGGAGCCGAAGCTCTACGAGAAGAGCCCGTTACCGCCAAAGTCCCCAAAACCATCTCAAAGCACAAGCTACTCTAAGCCTGCATAGACCAGAACCATTGGTATTTCGTTACTTACCTTATTTATGATGATCATGAATAATACTAGCAAAAACTCAATGAGCCCGAATACCGTGGCTGCAGGCGAGGCAAAGTCTTTAAAGCAGGGGAGCGCTTGCGGCAAGCCCTCACCGGTCTCGAGGACCCAACTGTCGGGCTGAGGGCAGAGGATTGCTAAATTGGTGATTTAGGGGTTAGGGTTTAGGGGTTAGGGGTATAGGGGTTAGGGGTTTAGGGTTTAGGGGTTAGGGGTTTAGGGGTTTGGGGTTTAAGGGGTTTGAGCTTTTTGTTTCATTTCGGGATATTGGGGCTTCAGGTGAGGTTATAACTATTACATACACGATCTTGATTTTTGGCAGGTCATGTGGGTTTTAGGGGTCGTAGAGTTGTCAGTTTCGGGACACAGGTGGAAGAAGAAGCCGTTGATTAATAAGACTTGCAAGAACCAGGCTTTGAAATATGGCTTCAGATTTTCTTGCTTCCGGGCTCAAGGATCCAGTGGTGTGCTCTATTTCAGCAGCCTCGATACTACAGTATTGCATTGTTTGCCATGCCATCATATTTCTCTTTAGTGCTATCATGTGCGTCCTCACCGCCGAAGCAACATGCAGCTTTCGTTGCAGTTTGAACGCAAAGGCGGAACGTTTCAGAGCATGCACCGTTTCAGGACCATCAACCCTCAACCCCGAACCCATGTAAACGAACCAGCGTTGACATAGGTGTCCAGAAATAATAAGGAAAGCCTTCTTACCGCTTGTTCTTTAAAGAGCTTGGTCTGCGGAATCCTGATCAAGCGTAGGAGGCAGATGTCACAGATGTAGTCAGACGAGCGCCGAACTGAAAGTACACAAATGGGACCACATTGAGAGATCGGGCTAAACACCCTGATCCGCTTCATACCACGTCACTAGGACAAAAAGGGTTTATGTCAGTTTATGTCTGATGCATTTTCGGTAGATGTGTTGCTAAACGAATGCCCGAACCGTCCTGAGCCCTCAACATCTACTTGGAGGATCATGGGACGTAGTAAGTAAGGTTATTTGTGCCTTACTTTGGGGTTATAAGTATAGTTACCCTATAATCATAACAGAGTAGGACCAGAATAGGGCTCTTGTTACTAAGTCCCATGACCCTTTTAAGAAGCTCTAAATGCGGAGAATTGGCTGAGAAGGATCAAATGGGCCTCATGCATCCGGACACAATCAGCAGTGTCACCTTCTTAGCTCGCATCGCCCAGGACTCTCCGTGGTGCTGCAGGGTTCTGTTGTTTCGGGCTTGCCGGAAATGTAGCCATGTAAAGCCAAGGCTGCAAACCGGCCCCGGAAGGTCATCCTGATAAGATAAGTGCAGAGCTATGCCAGCAATTTGTTTTCGAACCTTCCCAATAAAGGTACCTTAGGAATCTTAATCAAATCTTAGGAGTCTTATCAAAGATTAAAACAAAAACATCTTTTTTTGTTGTGCTTCCCCAAGCTTTCTTGCATTCTGCGAAAACTCCAGGACCCTCCACTGCTCTGAGCCTGAGCTAGCCTCCCACAGAAGTATGGTGGGGGTTAATTTTTGGACATGAGAATCCTGTCGAAACCACAGGACCTCACTCGGATTGTCTATCTGTGGCCTTACCCTCAAGCTCCCTACATACACCCGATTCCAAAAATCCTTTGCCGGATAAGAGCTGCCTGCTTGACAGGAGCAGGGCAGATTGACAGAGGCTGAGGACTTCTTCCGCCGGGCGCTGCAGGCCATCTCAAGCATGGGGGTGAGTCTGAGTTGTTTTGGTTTTTGCGGTTCTGCGGTTCAGGGTCTTCAATACCCCACGTCTGAGCATGCGTTTTCTTCTTGTTTTTTGGAGGGTCTTTCCGGTTCAATCTCTCCTTCCCTTGGCTGGCGAAGTAAAATGCACGATTGGAAAGCGTCTTGTCATTCGGTCCCGAAGCCCTACCGAAAACGCATCAAAACCGTACTGGCATTAGGCCCCAATAAGAGCGAAAACAGGTATCAGTAGGGTGTCAGTCTATAGGGGTATATGTGAGTGCAACAGCATACACCGTAAGCCGAACTCCCTGGTCTTTGCATCAGCTCTCCCAGCCCCTGAAGGCCCTGAGACCCTTGGCAGATAGAGCCTGTAGCCTTGCGACCATACATGAGCTGAAGACGGGGCCAGTTGTTTCATTGCCCTTTTGCACCGAACCAGAACCACAAGGTTTAGATCCACAGGGCTTTTTCGACAGAGTTGGCTTCTAAAGACGTTTACAGACTTTTAAAAACTTTCAAAAAAAAAAAAAAACATTCTAAAAACTTTTAGAAGACTTTAAAAGACTTTTAGAAACTTTTAGAAGACTTTTGCAAACTTTAAAAAACTTTTCAAAACTTTAAAAGGCTTTTAAAATATTTAAAAGACTTTTAAAAACATTAAAATACATTTAAAAGCTTTAAAAAGACTTTAAAAGACTTTTAAACGCTTTTAAAAGCTTTTACAAACTTTAAAAAGAATTTGAAAGACTTTTAAAGACTTTAAACAACTTTTAAAAATTTTTAAAAACTTTAAAACAAAAAAAACTAATTTTTTTTCCGAGAAGACGAGGATGAAGAAGACCTGGCACAGGGTTTACAGTTTCAGGGTCTTTAGGGTTTGGGGTTAGAAGGCAGAGTGCCATATTATTAGGGGTTTGAGGGTAATGAAAGGGTTAGGGTTAGAGTTTCAGGGTCTTTATTATATTTAGGGTTTGGGGTTAGAAGGCAGAGTGCCATAGTATTAGGGGTTTGAGGGTAATGAATAATGAAAGGGTTAGGGTTAGAGTTTCAGGGTCTTTATTATATTTAGGGTTTGGGGTTAGAAGGCAGAGTGCCATAGTATTAGGGGTTTGAGGGTAATGAAAGGGTTAGGGTTAGAGTTTCAGGGTCTTTAGTATATTTAGGGTTTGGGGTTAGAAGGAAGAGTGCCATAGTATTAGGGGTTTGAGGGTAATGAAAGGGTTAGGGTTAGAGTTTCAGGGTCTTTAGTATTTAGGGTTTGGGGTTAGCAGGCAGAGTGCCATAGTGTTAGGGTTTGAGGGTAATGAAAGGGTTAGGGTTAGAGTTTCAGGGTCTTTAGTATATTTAGGGTTTGGGGTTAGAAGGCAGAGTGCCATAGTATGAGGGGTTTGAGGGTAATGAAAGGGTTAGGGTTAGAGTTTCAGGGTCTTTAGTATTTAGGGTTTGGGGTTAGCAGGCAGAGTGCCATAGTGTTAGGGTTTGAGGGTAATGAAAGGGTTAGGGTTAGAGTTTCAGGGTCTTTAGTATAGTTAGGGTTTGGGGTTAGAAGGCAGAGTGCCATAGTATTAGGGGTTTGAGGGTAATGAAAGGGTTAGGGTTAGAGTTTCAGGGTCTTTATTATATTTAGGGTTTGGGGTTAGAAGGCAGAGTGCCATAGTGTTAGGGTTTGAGGGGAATGAAAGGGTTAGGGTTAGAGTTTCAGGGTCTTTAGTATTTAGGGTTTGGGGTTAGCAGGCAGAGTGCCATAGTGTTAGGGTTTGAAGGTAATGAAAGGGTTAGGGTTAGAGTTTCAGGGTCTTTAGTATATTTAGGGTTTGGGGTTAGAAGGCAGAGTGCCATAGTATTAGGGGTTTGAGGGTAATGAAAGGGTTAGGGTTAGAGTTTCAGGGTCTTTAGTATATGTAGGGTTTGGGGTTAGGAGGCAGAGTGCCATAGTGTTAGGGTTTGAGGGTAATGAAAGGGTTAGGGTTAGAGTTTCAGGGTCTTTAGTATTTAGGGTTTGGGGCTAGAAGGCAGAGTGCCATAGTTTTAGGGTTTGAGAGTATTAGGGATGCACAAATCGCGTGAAGTGGCTACGAACTGCTGGATGTTGCGCTTTTCTGCGTTGACCACACTGTCAAGCGAATCACGTGCAGGCGAAGCAGGGTACAGCTGGGTGACGCGACAACGTCTGGCACTCTGCCTTCCCAGCTGCTGGCACTCTGCCTTCCCGCCTCAAGATCCATTAATTATTGCCACCACAACTTTGCACTCAGCTGGTCGGTCAAAGGTATTGCTCCAGCATCAAGGTCAGGAAGTTCCCCCGGACCACCGAGACGGATGGCAACAAGTGAGAGGTGTTTCATCTGAAGGAAAAACTGCCGTTGTTGTTCATCTTCGTCGTTCCAAACATAAACAAAATCACAAACGAGAGAAACGCGCGGCAACTCCAGCGGTTCTTCTCCTTCACCCACCTGATAACACTTCGGGAAGGGGCATTGGTACCGTCGAAGAAGCCTGAGGCCTCCTGTAATGCGGGAGCCAATACGTGGCCAGTAACGCAGGTAGCGAACCATGATTTCCCAAGGCACGTCGTCATAAACTTCATTCCATGTCTCAGCTGGTTTCCACTGGTGAGGCGCTTTGGCCAGTTTTTCGCAAGCGGTTTTGATCAAGATTGGGGAGAGCGCGCCTCTGAAGAAACACTCTCCTCGTTCGATCGGGGCGAAATGCATTGCTCTGGACGGCTACTGTTCAGTCACAAGCACGCACGGCTTCAAACCACATGTGCTAGTTTGTGCGGCTTCCGGGTTGGGGCACTCGAAATGATTGTCCATGTGCTTGCACGTGACAAATTCCACATGTGTGAAAATGCGAACATGCTTTCGCAATCCGTCTTCCCCAAGCAGAAACACACAGTCTCTCGGACGCATTCCAATCTAGCAGGACACGCTGCCATCAATGCAAGCACACAGACAGACACACAACTTTTCTTTGCAGCGCAGGATGAATCCTCTAGTTGTTGCCAGGCCTCCTGGTCGGGCCACAACAGGGCCTATGGTCAATGACGTGTTGTCTGGCCTGCGCTTCTGTCATCTTGGAAGCCACACGTCCCCAGTGATAGGGTACGAGGTGCCTCCACTCGCCTTCAATGCCAGACACACATGGGTTCATGTAATGTGACACAACACACAGCAGATCAGGCAACCACATCGAAGCTATAACAAATGTTCCGAATCTTTCCAAGAGACCGACGTCTGTCACACGAACTCGGAGAAACCATTTTGCTTTGTCAGTGCCACCAGGATTCGGGTCGTACTTCATCTCACCAGCGATCTTGGGACACTCCGGGCATTGAACAGGTCTCCATACCCCTTGGTAGTCAACACGGTTCGGCCGCCGATGATGTTGGGGGCCACGGACTGCAACCTCCCGTGGCTCGAGTGCTGGGATAGGCACTGCAGGCACCTCCGGCATCTCAGCAGGAGGGGCTGGCACTCTGCCTTCATCGGGCTCCACGTGATCATCAGGCTCTGGGACAGGGATTGCAGCAGGCACCTCCGGCATCTCAGCAGGAGGGGCTGGCACTCTGCCTTCCGCGGCCTCCACGTGAATCATCAGGCTCTGGGACAGGGATTGCAGCAGGCACCTCCGGCATCTCAGCAGGAGGGGCTGGCACTCTGCCTTCCGCGGCCTCCACGTGATTATCAGGCTCCGGCTCCACCGGCACCTCAGCAGGAGGTGCTGGCACTCTGCCTTCTGCTCCCTCTTGACCACTTTCATCAGGAGGCGCGGGTTGATTCCTGGGCAACATACGTGGGCGACAAATCTTTCTCTTGGCTTTCCGTTTGGCCTGTGGCTTGGCCTTTGCTTTGGTCTTTGCTTTGGCCTTGCCCTTTGCCTTGGCCTTTGCTTGCTGCGTCTTGATGGCCTGCCAGGTTTGATGCACCCTTTTGATTCTGCGTTTTCTGACTGCGTCTGAGTGTCCTCAGCAAGCAGGTCGTCAAGAACCAGCTCATCAACAAAGTCCCCCATGATAATGTCATCCTCATCCTCATCCTCTGTTGAATATTTGGCTGTCGAATACATAGCCTCAATTTTGCGCATGAAATCCTCATCTTCCGGAAGGTGATGAGAAGCGATCAGGCTCATGAGCTTTGGACGGCGCATTCGTGGCAGCTCCTTTCGCTTTTTTTCGTCTACGTTTCCAGTCTGGGAGATCACATGCTCGGCGAGATTCTGGCAGTCTGCGAGAGTCCGACATGCTTGTGACATTTCCCTCAGTCGAGTCAGCAAAAACAAACACAGCAAAACTTATATAAGTTTATTGTACTATTTACTGTATGGGTCGACAGTTGACAGAATCCTAAATGAAAACATGTCACTTGGGATGCTGCAACATATAGGATAGAAGTGACACTGAGCTTGTAGCACAACGACGGAGGCAAATGAAGCCATTCCAGAAGACTGCCTCTGTTTCGATGACTTCCCAATACGGGGGCTCATACAAATGAATCCAGCAGGCCTTGACGCTGGAACCATCCGGGCACTCTGCCTTCAAAACAAAATATATCTCTCCTGTCGACTGGTCCTCATGCTGGACCACTGGCCACATGAGAGCAGCCCAGGTTTTTGCCCCAAGAGAGAGATAGCATGTCAAATCCAAGACATGGTTCACGATCTTCAAAGGGGCTGCAAGGCTGCTAAACTTCCCAGCACGCAAGGGAACATGCTGAGATGCCAGTCTTGCATCATTGTAGTGAATTAGCCATGACCACGCAGCTGATGCTCGTTCGAGTGTCTCTTCTGACAGGGTGTTCCATGTCTTGTCGCCGACAATCTCGGTATACTGTGACTGCAGCTTGTGGACACATCCTCTGAAGCACAACTTTTGGCGCTTCCTGTCCACATTCCAAAACTCCCTTTCAAAATATTCCCGTTTGACTTTTGCCGGATGCCTGATTGAACGGCTTTCAAAGACGTTTGAATTCTCGATCACAGTTTGAA